CAATCCATCTGTTTGAAGGTCTTCCTCTCTTTTGTCATTCCTCTCCCTTTCCAAGCATGTTTTCCGTCTCCAAGGAATATCCTCTCTTAGTGATATGCTCCAAGTTCACAGTCCAAAGGTATTAATTCTTCCTCTGTCATCCTTATTCTTTGTCCAGCTTTCAGAGGCATAGTAAGTGACTGAATTGACTATGGCCTGAAGTAGGTACATCTGAGTCCTCAAACTGACATCACTGCTCCTCAATAATTTGGAGATGTTCCTGACTGCAGACTTTTCCAGTACAGCAAGGCTCCTCATCTCCCAACTGCTGGTACCAAGTGTCCTGATTGTGGATCCAAGTAAGATGAAGTAATTGGCAGTATCAATCTTTTCTCCAACTATCATGATGTTGTCTATTGGTCTAGTGGTGAGGATTTGAATTTTCTTGCTGTTGAGATGCAGTCCATATTAAAGGCTGTAGTGTTTAACTTTCTGCAGCAAGTACTTTAAGTCCTCCTCACTTTCAGCAAGTAAGGTTGTGTCAAATGCATAAGGAAAGTTATTAAAGAATATGCCTCTGATCCTGATGCCACTTTCTTCTCTCAAATAATTTTCTCAGCCTACAGATTAAGCAAAAATGCTTAATGGATATAATCCTGATGCACACCTTCTCTAATTTTAAACCATGTAGTGTTCCCTTGCTCGGAACAATAGCTTCTTCATGGATTCCCGTTGCTCTCAATGTTAGCGATAATTTGTTATGATCCACACAGCCAAATGCCTCTGCATAGTCAGTAAGGCACAAATATGTGTTATTCTGGTATTAATTGCTTTCAGCCAGGATCCATATGACATCAGTGACATCTCCAGTGCCACAGGCGCTTCTAAATCCAGCTTGAACTTCTGGTAGTTCTCTGTTTATAGATTGTTCTAAATAATCATCAGAAGTATTTTCTTGCATGTGATATTAATGATACTGTTTTATACTAATGATATTATTAGGAAGTAAAGCATATAATTATATTCTTCTATATAATGACATATTATTAAATATTATGTAATTATAGCAAAGTATTAGAAAGTATAGTGGCACATAGGGTTTTAGAGGAGGTCATGGCACTATAGATTTTATCGCCAATGTCAGATGGATCTTGGCTGAAAGCAACGAGTACCAGAGAAGTATCTATCTGTGTTTCATTGTCTATGCAAAGACATTTAACTGTGTGGATCACAACAAATTTTAATTAACCTTGAGGAGAATGAGAATGCCAGAACACTTGATTGTGCTTATGCAAAATCTATACTTAGAACAGGAAGCAGTCTTCAGAAGAGAGAAAACAATACTGCATGGTTCAAAATCAGGAAGGGAGTGTGTCAGGGATGCATCCTATCTCCATACCTTTTCAATCTCTATGCAGAGCAAATCACTCAGGAAGCTGGGAGTTATGAGGAGTAATTTGGCATCAGCATTGAAGGAAGACTAATCAACAACTTATATTATGCAGATGACACAACTTTGCTTGCTGAAACTGAGGCAGACCTGAAGTGCTTGCTGCAGAAAGACTATATTCTTCAATATGGATTCAAGCTCAACATCAAGAAGATAAGGATTCTCACTACTGGGACAATTGGCAGCACTATGATAAATGGAGAAGAGACTGAGGTTGTTAAAAATTATAGCTTGCTCGGCTCCACAGTCAACACTCTTGGCACTGTTGTTGTTTTTAGGTGCCATCGAGTCATAGACAACTCAAAGCGACCCTGTGAACGAAAGGCCTGAGCACTGTTCTTACACAGAGTTTCTGGAGGCAAGCCATTTTGGAAGTGGATGCCACTCATGCTTCCAGGCTTTAGTCGGGAAGCTCCAGAAAACACTGTCCACCATGGGTGCCCATTACCACGTTTGGCACATCAGTGTCACAGTGTTCAGTATCACAGCAACCACGAGTTACCTCTGTACAGCAATGCACAGACCAGTTGCTGTGACCTCTGGTTGCCAGAGAGAGCATGGTGCTGCTTGCACAGGTATTGTGGCAGGCTTTTGGAATCGAGTGATTTTTTTGGGCTTGTGTTTGACTGACTCTTGGCACCAGCAGTCAGGAAATCAAAAGATGAAATGCACTGGGAAAATCTGCTATCAGGGACCTCTCCAGAGTACTGAAAAGCAAAAATGTCACCTAGAGCCTAAGGTGTACCTGATCCAGGCCATAGTCTTTGCAATTACTTGCAACAGAGAACTGGATAATGACTAAGGATGACAGAAAAACTGATGCTTTTGTGTTGTGGTTCTGGAGAAGAATCTTGAACATACCACAGACAGCCAAGAAAACAAATAGGTCTGTCTTGGAGAGGGTGAAACCAAATTTCTCCTTGGAGGCTAGGATTTTGAAGCTCCATCTCACATACTTTGAGCAGGAGGTAAGGAGGGACCAGTCCTTGCAGAAGGACATCATGCTCTAAAAGGTAGAGGGACAGTGCAGGTGAGGAAGACCCCAGATGAGTTGGCTTGACAAAGGAACTGGAGCAATGGGGGTTGGTGTGTCAGAGTCAGTGAGAATGGCTCAGGACAGGGCAAGCTTCAGAGCTGCTGTAAAAGGGTCACTATGAGTCATAGGCAACTTGATGGCACATAACAACAACAACAGAAAACAGCAGCACAAAATCTTAGTGACCAGTGGTTTAGAGAAGTGGGCAAACTATGCCCCATAGGTCAACATGGCCTACTAATTGGTTTTATATATAGTTTTACTGGTATAAAGCTGCGCTCATTTGCTTATGTGCTATGTCTGCTTCTGTTTTATAATGATAGATCTGAGTAGTAGAGACAGCCACTAGATAGTCTAAAAGTCTAACTGTTTCTATCCACCCCTTTGCAAAAAATTTGTAACAATGTCTAAAGTATTGTTGTTGTTTTTGTCACTGAGTTACTTGTGACTCATAGCGACCCTATGTACAAGAGCCCTAAACCCTACTCTATCCTATGCCAACCTCCTTGTCTCAGACACATCTACTCCCGCTACCCCAATCACGGAATCATCCCATCCAGGGTCTTCCTCTCCTGAGCAGTTCATCCACTCTCCCAAACATGATGTCCCTCTCCAAGGACTGGTCCCTCCTTGCACTGATAAATTAATCTAATGGGACTTTATCTTGTAGCCTATTTATTGTCAAGATTTAAAGCAAAATGAGTCTATAATGCTTTATATTATTAGCAAATGGGCTTATTTTTAAAATTTTATGCTAGTAATATACCTACATATCTCTCTCTGTGTATGTGTGTGTGTGTATATGTATCTCCCACCTTTCCTTTTTTATTGCTATTAAGTCAGAATTAACTCATGGCTGACCATCTGTTGGGTTTCTGAGGCTTAAATTTGCACAGGACAATACTGTCTCTTTTACTTCCCTGGAGCTGCTGGAATACTCGGACTGGCAGAGGTGAAGACTTTGTGTTAGCAGAGAAACTTCTTATGGAATAGGGCACTAGAACTTTTATATAAATAAATATCTGGCACTCATTTATATTACACATGTGTGTGTGTATATATATATATATA